CACTCTCTCCCTATATATATATATATATATATATGTGTGTGTGTGTGTGTGTGTATTTGTGTGTATACATATTCATTTACTCTAAGAATAAGTTTATTTAAATTTACTTTTTTCAATAATTCATGTTCTACATTAAATTTTAATGATCTAATTGTAAATATAGATCAAGTCTGCAAATTTTTAAAAATTTTAAACTTATTTAATATTTTGTTTCATTAATTCAAATCAACATATAAAATACTTTTAATATTATCTGTTAATTTGAATTAATGAAACGAAGTATTAAAAGAGGAGGAATCTACTTAGTCTAAGAGTAAATCTACATAGATTTACTCTACTCAATAATTCATGTTTTATATTAAATTTTAACAATTTAAATATTTAATCAAAAGTTTTTAATGCATAAATCAAGTTTACAATTTAAAAAAAAATTAAAAAATTATTTGATACTTCATTTCATTAATTAAAATTGATATATAATCATAAAAATATTTTATACATTGATTTGAATTAATAAAATAAAGTATCAAATAGTTTTCAATTTTAAAAAAAAAATTGTAGACTTGATCTATGCATTAAGAACTTTTAAATGATATTTGTTGCAATCTCCTTCAAAATTGAGTTCAATATCCAAGATGAAACAATGTTGTTGTAACAAGAAGTTGGGGACAATCATCAGGCTTTAGCAAAAACCCATCAAGAAAGCCAAACTTGTTCTTGCTAGCCATTTCCATTGCACGACTCCATGAGTTGTAATTCTCACCATTCAAAGGTTAAGGCACCAACATAGAATCATGATTGTCAAATGGATGGAGATAATAAGGATTGGAAAAACCATCCATGGTCACCATGGAAAGAAATTAAGAAAAATAAGGAAATTAGATATTCACGAAGAAAATTTCTAATACCGTATTAACAAAAGAAATGATAGAATGAATTGATGTTATTAAAATTGAGAAGGTCACTTATATATGAAAGAATATACTAATAGAAAACAATTGAATAATTCTATCAAAGTAACCAATTAAAAAACAAAATTTATTAATAAACTGTAATACTAACACATTCAACATTATATATAAGCTTAAATATATTTTTAGTTTCTCAAATTTAAGATAAAATTATTTTTGGTCCCTCAAATTCAACTTTGTTATTTTTAGTCCCTATAATTTTTAAAAATCTTGTTTTAGTCCTTTAGATCACCAATAACATATCTAAAAGTG